TTAAAGCTTAAAGGTTTTAAAGCTTAAACTATTGAGATTTACAACTGTGGTATGAAACATAGAATTTGTATGCGTATCACTTTCCATATTCTTTAAGCCTGGAAATAAACAGCTGAATTCAACTTTTGAATCTCACGTCTATCAGGATAGTGGCTTCTGCTTCTGCAACATACTAGTTTGAAAAAGAGTGAATAACCAAGAGACTCAACATAAGGATTTTTGGCAACTGAAGTAGGAATGCTATTATTTCTAGAAGCCCAATTGTGGTTTTAAGCTTTAAAAATGCTTGGCAAGTTTTAGAGTTCAAGTATACTAAGTAAGGATCTTCATTTCCACAGCAGAAAAATGCTAGACATATTATTGTTCATTATTTTCAAAATCATATCCAAGAGATTGTTGTGGAATAATCCAAATTTGAACAGAGAGAGGGGGGGAGGGGGAGACTGGTCTTCCTTAGCAATCCTCAGAGATACCTACCAATTCAAGATCTTTAAGCGATCCAAAGTTTGAAGTGAAACCAACAACTACAACTCTACTTGATATGAAATAGAAGGAAGGCTAGCATTAAATAACTAAAGTGTGGAATACAAAATTGACATATCCAATTTTAGAAAAACAATGGATCTACATTTTGAGAACCATAACACATATTTCTCATATAAGAATGAAGTTAATTCATCAGAAAATTCAATTTCTTATCCACTGGATCTTGTACAGCTATAACTGATTTCGTTTCAATTCACAATTCACAGACTAATAAAATTTTAGAAAGAAGTGTAACTGTTGAATATCAGGATATGAGTCTGTTATTTGTTTCTTAAAAGTCTTTCTTTTCTAAAATATAAAAGTTTAAAAATGAGAGGATGTAGCAGTATGTTAAGACAAACTTAATTAATTCATCTTGACACTCAATGGCCATTATATGAATCTGTTTTGCTTTCTATTAGTTATTTTTATATCCACTTTTATATAGCAATGATAATCAAATATAGCAATGATTACATTTATCAATAAGTAATATAAAATTGATGTATAAAATTGATGATATAAATAAATGCTTAAATAAAGGACTCAAAATATACAGCTTTAATAATTAGAATTTAAATTATTTAAGTCAATTGCTTCTAATTGTTAAAAAAAATGCCAATCCCACTTTAAATATATTATTTCAGGGAGCATGCATTATTGTACCACTTAGTCAGGATATCCAATTTATTTCCATTATTTATTATTTTGGGCCCCTTAGTAAATCTATCTATATATTAAAACTCTAGTTCCTATAACCTTTAACTAGATGAAACAGTTGCTCGATAGAGCAACAATTTTTGAGGTAAGGTATCTCAAATGGGCTAACTTACAGAATGTATCCAAAATCCACAACCCATGATTCTTGTGGAATTGAAATTTGGCAAATTTTACAAAATATTTTATGATATAAAAATTACCATAAAATAGTTTATGACATAATACAAAATGTCATAAAACACTTCCAGAGGTCAACTCCTGTTGTTTGAGTCTGCAATACAGTTTAACATGAGTTACTTTCAAGCCAGATACATTTCTGAATATCTCCCTGAATTTTTAAAGATATTTCCAATATTTCAGAAGCTCTGACATTGTTGAAGACATTTATTTATTTATTTGTTTGTTTGTTTATTTATTTAGCATATGGCATATCACACATAGACTAACAATATATATATATTACCATTTCACCTAGATTAGTAAAACACAATATAAATATTCAAAAGATGTAAGTTCAAATACCAATATAGGCCATTTAACTATTGAAGCACAGCAAATCAGATACTGGACTGGTATATGCCCTCAACTTACATCCAGTCAGGATGTGATCTACAGTTTAACATGTGACTCGTTACATTGAGGGAAGCATACTATGCAGATGCCATGTGAGGTGTGAATCATATTCAGGGTTGTCCATTGCTGATATAGTAGTTTCAAAGCTTGGCATTGTTTTTGTGGGGTTATTTATATGTCTTCCTATATCTGGATGTTCAGCAGCCATTTGGCTTTCCATTGGGAATCAATGTTAAAGCTGTTGGGCAAATGTTATGCAAGCGTTAGTGGAGGTTTCCTGGATTTGAGTCTTCCGGCTGATAAATGAGGAAAGTTGGCATGCACTGGTAGGAGATGTTCATAATTTTTCTGTATTCTCTCACTAGTGCATCTTGCCTTTGTAAAGCTGGCAGTGCTATATGGTTCAGAACAAGAAGCCATCAAGTCGGAGTGGTTTTAATACATTTGTTTATAATCCTCATGGTGTCGCTGACTCTGGCATCTACCTAACTAGTATGGCAGATGTTAAGCCATGCAGGGGCACTGTATTCTCTAGGTCAGGGGTGTCAAACTTGCAGCATCACCTTGTTGTCATGTGACATATTGCGACTTTTTTCCATTGCTAAAATAGGGTGGGCATGGCCAGCGGGTGACGCATCCAGCCATGGGCCACAAGTTTGACACCCCTGTTCTAGGTGTATCTTATAGGAAAGACTTGGTACAATTTTATTCCAAGTACTTTGGATGCAGATTATAGGGGAGTAAGTTGTTGTTTAATAGACCTTTGGGGCTTCATATGCCACTTTATTGTTAAGATAGAAGCATAGTTACCATTTTGCTTAAGAGTGAGCCTGCAGTCTGTGAAGAATTTTCCCAAGATTTTAAGATCTTTGGACAGGAGACTGTCAGCTAACCTCCATGTGTTTTTCTTATACTGCTATACCAAATCATCAGTGTATTCAAATTTGCATCCCCTTATCGCGGCATATCTGATATGTATAAGTTGAATAGTATAGGTGCCATTACAGAGCCCTGTGGGAGGCCATTGTTTAATCTTCTTACCTTACTTACATTGTCCCCCATTATTATCTGAAAGGACCTATCACTCAGCATGTTATTAATTAGTGGACAGAAATTTTTGCAGGGATAATATGGCAGAGTTTGTATAACAACCCATTCTTCCAAACTGTGTGTATGCCGCAGTTAAGTCTACAAAAATGGCCATGGTTTTAAGACCTCATTGGAAACCTACTTCAATATAACCTGTTAGGCTTAGCACCTGGTCTGCACAGTTCCTGTCTTGTCAGAAGATGGCTTATTCCACGGGCAGATGTTCCTCTATTATGGGACCTATTCTGTTTATAATTAATCTTTCCAGGAATTTGTAACAGATCAAAAGGGCGATTGAGCGTAGCTTTCAACTCTGCCTTTAGTTTGCCAGGTTTTAGAAGTGATATTATTTTAGCTTTTTTGAATTCTGGTGGGAGGCTGCCACTGGAAACTATGTCTGAGAGGAATTTACCAATCCAATTCTGCATGCACCTCCTGGAGTTTATCAGAATTCTGGATGAATGCCATCAAAGCCTGGTGCTTTACCACATTCCAGAGTAGCAATGGCAGTGTCAATTTCCTTTACAGAGAAGGAACAAGGGCTCTCAGAAAGCGTCCAGCCCCACTGCTGAAAAGCTGAAAGCGCTTTCTTGATTATAGTGGAGTGTCCTTTCACCCTTGGAACTTTGGAGAGAGCTACAACTCAGGAGTCTATTTGGTCAGGAGTTACATTGGGTGTTTGTTCTGTGGGTTGTCTAACTTCACCCAGTTTCCTTAATAGGCTGCAAGGTTTTCTGCTGTATTTGCTGAAATTTCGTGATTCTGCGTATTGTTTCCACTTCTTACTTCAAGCTGCATCCAAGCTGTATAAGAGAAGAATATCTGGTAGAGTCCTTCAGTCTCTTTGTTCCAACCTGAAATGTACTCTCTTCTAAATCCTCAAGGAATATGTCTTTTTGCACAGGTGATTATTGCTTTCATAAATCTATAATATAGTGCTGAATACTTGGTGGAATTTACTGCATAGTTTTATCAAGATTTGAAGGCATTGAAGAATCTATACGGAAATATTTCTGAGACGATGACCCAATGGGTCACAGGTTGTCTAATTTCAGTTAACAGTAACACTGTGAAGCACAGAATATCTTGTGATACTGCACCACTAGTGATAAGATAGGTTGGATTTAAAATAGCTAAGTGTGGCAATTATTAGGTATTTATTCTGACAGGAAAAGAAAGCTATTTCCAGTAAGCTGGTTTAATTCAAAACAAATGTATAACAAAGCATAGTCATATCTTTAGTTTGCTATGATTGGAAACACCAATGCATCCTACAGAAAATGTATCTCTTTATTATCAGTCACAAGCAAATTGTTTAAAATCGTATTTCTGGTTGCTCACAGAAAAAGTACTACTGCACATGGAAAACTGGTAAGCATTCCCCAATTAACTAGACATTTTATCTCAGATTGCAGCACCAGTAAGTTTTGCTCTCAAAATGAAGCTTAAGTTCCTGCTTTGCATTACATCCATTCCATTTCCAGATTCTTCTGAGTTTTTTTATTATCTACAGTTGTGATATCTGAATTTAGCAATTATAGCTATCACAGCTCATAATTTGCCTCTAAATCCAAATCAAAGACCTAATTCAGCTCATGTTTGCAATTGTAATTGGAGACAAACAATGATTTGCACTAATCATAGTTTTCCCAATTTAGAGGTTATATCTAAAACTATAGAAATCAGAACCAGGAAATGTAAGAGGCATTGGGATTCATGGGTTCAAGCTGTAGCTCCAAATGCAAGAAAATCATATGACATATTACAGTTATTTGTTTCATTTTATCTTACTACATTTATATAAAAAAGTCAATTTCTATTCTGAATGCACCACTGCCTCTAAAAAGGTTATACCATAATGCTAGATTACAGCAGGGGCTGCATGTTGGGAAACAGGTTGTGCAAGTGGCGGGCAAGTGCACCAAGCTTCATTTGTGCATGCGCAGGAACTAGGTTGCATGCACAAAACCATGCCCTCCCCACCACTGCCATCACTGCTACTGCTGCAGGTCCATGGAATTAGAAAGTGTTAAGAGGATATAAATAAAATTAATTAATTAAAGAACATATACAGCAGTAATATACAGACTCACCAATACATATGTCACCATCTAATAAATTGTCATCCTCAGAGGTCTGGAAATCCATGATAACACCAGCTCCATCTAGCAATTCTTCATCACTACTAGCACTAGTTATGCTGTTGTAACTATTTCTATAGTAACCTCTATGGAACAGTTGTTCAGACTCCATTTAGCTTCCTTTGTAAGCTAAAAGAAGAAGACAGAAATAATTAGATGTACACTTCTTTTTAAAGAGGAAAAACAAAAAGGATTTTTGAAGTAATATACATGTTAAAAGTGGAATATTTCAATGAAGCTATAATTAACAGAGAGTGAGGGGTCCTTGATGCTCTTTCAGCTTAATTGTTTTCTTGCAAACATTTAATTAGCCAGTAACATCATCAATGCTAGTCCTGTGCTAGTCCACTAGCTCATGTTACCTAGTTTGGGCAATGAAATGTATGAAAGAAAACAACCCCACCCAGAGGACTCCCTCATGTCAACTCTGAGCTACACATTTCTCCCTTATTGTTAACAGAAAGTATTATTCAGACAGGAGCAGATGCTGAAAATTATTTAAAAGCAGATTTGAGATTTTTTTAATGAAGTTTTGACTTTAATATTTTGAATGCTTCTGGCACTAATGTATTATTTATACTACAAAAAAACTACAGAACTTCAAAAACAATTTTCACTGCCAAAAACATTTTTTGAAATGTATGCTTAAGAAAATACATTTCCAAAAATAATGACTGAAGGGAAGATTTCTTAATGGAAGGACAGAAAAAAGATAAACATATAAAATCTAAGGCATGTATGAAGAGAGCTTCTTTTGAGCAATGGAAAAAAGGAGGACTGAATAAGTATAAGACAGAAAAATGGAAAGTATAAGTGTGATGAGAACAAATTTCTAACAAATTAACCTGAGGGCATATTTTGTATCTAATGGTGATTTGACTAATTCATAATTTTCTATCAGACAATCTTCATAATTATAACACCTGAGTTTCAATACAGGTAGTCCTTGACTTACAGTGATTCATTTAGTGACCAAAGTTACAATGGCACTGCAAAAAGTGACATGACCATTTTTCACACTTATGACTACTGCAGCATCCCCCTGGTTACATGATCAAAATTCAGACACTTGACAACTGGCATGTATTTATGACAGTTGCACTATTCCATGTGCAACCTCCTCAGCTGGCTAATGACAAGCGAAGTCAACGGAGGAAGCCAGATTCACTTAACAAGTGTATGATTCACTTAACTGCAGTCATTTTCTTAACAACTGTGGCAAAAAGAGAATAAAATGGGGCACAACTCACTTAACAACTGTCTTCTGTCTTAGGAACAGAAATTTTGGGCTCCATTGTGGTCATGGTTATCTGTAGTTTACAGCACCATTGCCCTAATTCACTAAAGCATAATAAGCAGAAGACATTCAACCTTCAGCAAGTAGAAAGTTTTGCTTGCAAGTTTAGCTCTCTTAACATTTGCCAGGAGGGAAATTGGTGAAGTCTTTATGCTCAGAACATGGAAAATGGTCCCTGAATTTCAGCTAATATTAAATATGTGTGTCTATTGTTTTTAAATTTAACATGCTATACTGATGTATATTACATAAAAATGGAATTCACGTAATCTTGGAATCAACATGTTTACTGAGTTTGTCTGGAACTAATTAATTTTATGATATACAGATTGCCACTGAATTTAATTCTATTTTGTAATTCATCACATTAAAATACATTTTTTAAGAAATGGCTTTGAAACTGTATTATTGGAACTTTTATTTTCAGTTCTTCATCTAACAATATTCAACATGGAACATTCTCTTTTCCTAGCAGCCTCACACAGCAACAATATTTTTTTTGTATTATCTATAATGAAATCTTTGTCCACTCATTTGCTAACAAAACAGAGTCCATCCGGGCAGTGGGGTGAGTGGGTGTGCAGACAGCAGCATAATTCTAGAAACAATCATGGTAACGTGAATGTGTCATAATCAAGTGCTACATTCACATTTCCACACATTTAGAAGTACTTCTTTGAAAATAATTCAGTAGCACTACACAGTCCAATTAGCACATAACCAAGTACATTCAGTCTAATTTTTTTCCTATCACAATGAACTATAATCTTTAAGACTTACAAACTAAGTTAGCAGCTGTGCATTTAGCAGCTTTGGGTCTGAAAACTTTGGTATGTATAATTTATATTTACATACCATTCTCAAACCCAATTGGGTTGATTGAAAGTATTGTGAAGTAATCTGCATAATCAAAAAATATGTTACCTTAAGTTAAAAAAAATAAAAGTATCAGTAAGGGCTTTAACCACAGAACTACTGTAAAAGTCGAATAAAAAAGGTACAATATTTCTCCTTGTTTCACACTTCAAGATGGGATCCCCTTGAAAGATGAATTTGCTGTATAAATACATGCCAGTAGCCAAATCCTAAATTTTGATCACATGACCATGGGGACGTTGTAATGGTTTCAAGGGCAAGGACCAGTTGTAAGTTACTTTTTTTAGCACTGTCATAACTTTGAATAGTTCTTAAACAAATGGACATAAGTTGATGACTATCTGTGTAGTCATTCTTTCCATTCAGTTAAAACATTGGTTTCTTATACCACAGTAATTGCTTGGTGTCACTTAAAATTTAATCCATGATCCCTTCTTTTCTGATATTTCTACCACCAATTGTTTTATTTATTTGCAAGGTTTATAAGCCATTTTAAATGTATCAATAAATAAAACATTTTAAGGAGTCTACAATATGCTATCTTTGAAAAATTCAAATTGAAAACAAAAATGAATCAGAATATAAATAATATAGGGCAAATCTGTAAGAAAAAGAAAAAATGTAAAAACTGTGAATATCACACTTAGTGGGCGATCAATAAAAATACTATTTCTGTGCAGATTAAGCCCTAGCCAGAGAATTCCAGCTCTCTGGCCTGATGGAACTGCTTTAATATGTTTTAATGGACCTTTCTAGTCAGGAAGGAAGGAGCCATTCTGATGTCTGTATATCTAAGCATCTGAATTCTCTATCAGACTCCAAAAAGTATACAGGTAGTCGTTGACTTATGACTACAGTAGAGCCCAAAATTTCTGTTGCTAAGCGAGACAATTGTTAAGTGAATTTTGCTCCATTTTACGACCTCTCTTGCCACAATTGTTAAGTGAATCACTGCAGTTGTTAAATTACTAATATGGCTGTTAACTGAATATGGCTTTTCCATTGACTTTGCTTGTCAAAAGGCTGCAAAAGGTGATTACATGACCTTGGGACACTGCAACCGTCATAAATGTAGAATCATGTGACCATGGGGATACTGCAATAGTCATAAGTGTGAAAAACGGTTATAAATCACTTTTTTCAATGTAACTTTGAACAGTCACTAAATGCACTGCTTGAAGTCAAGGACTTCCTGTACTATACAGGTGTTATGTGGGCATACCATGGAACTCTACTACTGAACATATCACTGCATTATGGACCAGCTGAAGCTTCAGAATGCTCTTCAAGGACATATAGCACTTTGTGATTATACAAGTAGAATGGGACTAAGGCATGAGTGACCATAAGCAATACCTCTTGATCTAGGAATTGGTACCACTGGTGCATAAGACATAATTGTGCAAAGCTTCTCCTGACCACGCTGCCATCTGTTCGACTGTTACCCATCCAGAATCAATTATAGAAAAACATTGGATTTTGCCCTTAAAGCTCACAGTCACTCAGTCTTATCAAGGTTGAGCTGAAGCCAATTCCTTCTCATCCAGACCTACACACCCTCCAGGCCTGAGAAAGCACATCAACAGTATCACTTAAGTGGTTCAGGCACAGCTGTACCTGAATATGGTAAGATACTTAATTTTAATATTTCAGTTAAGTACAAATCAGACCAGAGGTTTCTAAATCTTTTCAGGACAGAAAAAATGATAGTTAAAAAAATTTATCAGAACCCCCTAACTGACAGGGAGATCTCTAGTGATAAAAAATGGGTTCATTTTGTTGATCTTAGACTCCCACATAACCTCATCAAGTTCTTTTGAAAACTAGAAAAGTTGAAAAAAAACTTGAATTATTTTAAAGAAATCCAGAAAATTGAAAAGTAGCAAAGTCGTTGCCAAACTAATTAGTATAATGGTCCAATTCAATCCCTGAATTTTACAAAATATTTAATTCATTCTTCTTGAATGACCATCTGTTATATTATGCATACATAATTACAACTCATGAGTGTCATATGACTTCAAAAAATCTTATATTATAAAATCTTATTGAAAACTCATATTGTTAGCATTCCTAACATCCCTATGTATCCACAGTACTGTAGGGTTGGCATATTTGCATTATTAACCCTAACATTTTGATTACCGCCAATAGGAAAATAACTTTCAATAATTTTTATTCCATAAGAAACTGGATAAAATCTATCAAACATAAAAGCTATTCAATTCCACAAGCACAATAAAAAAGTTACAGATTTTTAATCGCAACAGCAGACTTATATACCACTTCACAGTACTTTACAACTCCCTCTAAGTAGTTTACATTTAGCATATTGCCCCCAACAATCTGGGTCCTGATTTTACTGACCTTGGAAGAATGGAAGGCTGAGTCAACCATGAGCCAGTCAGGATCGAATTCCTTAATCCTTAATTGAACTTTTTAATCAAAAAGTTTTATAATAAAATTTGGGAACATTTTCAAGGAATATTAAGATCTAACATACCAAATCTTTGGTATGTTAAGGCACATAATAAAAGGAGAACCCTGTATTGTTTATATCAGCTATAATAGCTATAGTATCTTGCTCAGCTGGATAGGTCTGTCCTACATCCTGCAATAGGAAAATACCATGGCAGGAAGAGAAATATAAGGACAATGATTATGCAACTTCAAAATTAGATTCAAAATTTGGAACAAAAGAAGATCAAGCACATAGTCAATTGGATTAAAACTTTTCTAGTGAAAGATGGCCTTACAGAAGTAGTTTCATATACATAATATTCTAAAACATGCTGTGCTAGGCTTAACCTGTCTCCAAAGTCACATCAAGGCAATGATTTTGGTTAAAACAGACAGCATTAAACATAGCCTAAAAATCATAACAACCTCCTCCTTTTGCTTTCTTGGGAAATTCAAGTAAATTTTAAAAGAAATATTATAGGATGCATCCTACAGAAACATTTACCTATGCATGTCTTCTTTAATTCAGTTAAAATTAATCTTTCACAAGTATTATTCAATTCACAAGATACAATCGGCAATTTAATGAGGACATTTCTCACAGGACAGATTCCAAAAAAATATTCATGGAGCAAGGAAGAAATTATTGAATACCAGAAAGATTGTCCACAGTTTTTCTTTTTCATCCATATAGTAGGGATATTTTGTCCAATAAGATACCATATAAAGTTCCTCCCTTTTTTCCAGAAAGGAGAAAAGGAGAGCAATAAAAAGTAAAGCAGCATTAAAGTCAAGTTTAAAATCCCTGTAAAAGATTGCCTTTATTTTAAAAAAAATGAATCACAGCACAATCTATGATTTCTAATGTGCTAAGACTGTAAACTCTCAGAATTTTCTGTAACTTAGGACTTCTTGTCCTAACATATCCAGAAAGCACCAGGATGAGGAACGCTGGCTTCAGCATTTCGCAGAGAAAAACTTTTATTAGTTAACCTCCTGCTACTATAAAGTCAAGGGTAGAACAGCCAGAGCCTTTGAGACCATGCCTCAACTTACATTTTCGTTCCCGTTTTAAACGTAACATATATTGAAAGGCAGGCTTTCCTCCACCATCTCTCTTGCAGTTAAATGGCGGCAGGAGGTGGAGGGAGGAGTGTGTCTGTCTGGTGAAGGATGCCGGCAACATCTCTAGCTAGACCACATCTCTTTCACTCACGCACACCTACTGTAATGTTTGTCACACTCTAGTTCTGCGATTACGTCTCTGAAAATGATCCCTGTCTCTATCCCCGATCTAGCGCCCAGGTAAAAATCCACCCTACCTGGCCGCGTGGCGCCGCCTGGTGATTCCCGGAGAGGTTCTCACGCATCCTCCTGCTCCTGCGCTAGGAAGAAAAAAAACCCACCACTCTGCGAGAAAGGGGGCGGGACTTCGTTAGAAGCAGGACCAATTTCTCGAGATCAAATCCTACCAACCAATCAATTGCCGACGCCGTTCGTGTTACAGCTTTTTTTTTTTTTTTTTGACGGAAAGGTAAGCTTTCTGTGCTGCGCAAGCGCAACGAAGGACTTTATAATTGGACTGGCAGCAGACGCCAGCTTCCAATTGGTTTGCGACTTTGCGCATCCGCCTAGACTGGTTTGTCAAATACCCAGCGTAAACTTGTTGACCCTTTAGTAACAACGAGGGGTTTCTCAGTCCCATATCTGCCAGATGTCTTAAGATTTGAACTTCCAGATAGGAGCTAATAGCCTGAACGACAACTGGAGGACACGTATTTGAGGAAGATAGACAAACTTAACACATATAGCTTGCATTTTAACACATACACCCTTTCTAGTTTAACAAATGCAGTTTGTAGTTCCCCAAAATGTATGTCTATTAGTTTCCTAAATATTATTGCAAACCAGTACCTTTAACTCAATTTTACTTTTGTTTGCCTTAGAATCAGTGTTGATTCCTGGAAATTGCCTAGATTTTTGTCTCTGCAATTTCCTTCGCAAGATTTGGAAGTGATGTGCCATAGTCTTCTTCCAGGACTGAGAGGAGGGACTAGCACAAGGTCTCCTAAATGATTTTGTGCTGAGGCTGGGCTAGGACTCAACAGTCTCCTAGTTTCTAGCCTTACCCATTTCTTAGGGCAGGGCTGTCAAACTCCCTGCCCACAGGCTGAATGCATCATGCACTGGCCATGCCCACACCCAGTTTAGCAAAAAGGAGGAAAGTCCTGACACATCACATGACACCACCGTGACAATGTGAGTTTGACAGCCCTGTCTTAAGAGCATCTCAGACTAGTAAAGGATGAGGATCTGGAATGAGTGCTTGTAAAATAACGTTGATGGCACAACAGTAATTAAAATATAATTTTAAATCAATATTTAATAATTAACACTTTCAGTAGTAAGGATTTATTAACCTCTTCATGCTTTAAAATCAACACAGCCAAGGCAGAATTGTGCAGAGAACTAAATGAAAAACAATGATCACTAGCAGAGATTCAAAATTATTTTTGAAAATAATCTAGAATTTCTACCTCCCAATCTGCCAAACCAACACAATAGTGGATCTGTTTAGCAGGACTGCAGTATTAGAAAAGATGTGAATGAATAGTGAACATGGAAACAATGTTCACTATTCATTCCAAACAAAACTCTGCATTTTGGGAAATGCTTTGAGCAGCAGAATCCCAGCCAACCAAATTATGTAGTATAGATGGCTTTGATGAGTCCCCAAATGTACAAGTAAAATATATTTTGCTCTCATTCTAGGAAAATGAATCATAAACCAGTTTTCTGGAGGGTTGTGTTTTTTTTGGGGGGGGGGGTTGCTGCCTGGAAATACCAAGAGACTGTGAGCTCTACAAAACCATGATTTGTTTTTAATGGTAATAGTTCTTTTAAATGTTTTGTAACTTCATCAAGGATTTGTGTTTCTATATGACTGCTGAATTTGGTTAATTTGATAGGAGTGCGTTTCCTGACCTACTTTCCAAATTATGGATATCTGATAGCTGAATACATCAAGGTATGTTAGTTTGACTTGGAAATGGGCAATTTTTAAACCGATTTCTGAAGTTCATAATTTTGCTTGGAAGATTTGAGTATTATAACAATAGTTATAATATCCCGATTTTGTACGATTAATAAAGTTAATTGATTTTGATGGCAAAAATTGTTCTCTCTAGCCATTTTAAGGAAATATTGAATTGCAAGTAAGTAATGAAATGTTTCCAGTGAAAATTGTGGACATTTTTGCAGCAAAAATAAAAACAATTCTTACAAACCCAGAAATTGGACCAACGTAGCTGGCTGGAGATAGGCATATGCAGTTCTAGTTTGTTCTTGACAATTTTAGAGTTAAGAAGTGAATTATTCTTAATATTGAAAGGATTAGAATTTTCTTCTGTGCTCATCTATAATGAGTGCTTACTTTAAACGTGCCCACTGGGGTACTTACCTTCAATAAATTACAAGATTATTTGTGGCTTGGTTTCCACTGAGTTAATACTTCTACTAATTCTACATTTGTAGAATCAAGTATTTTCTTATTAGAAAAAACAATGAAGCCACATAATGTATAAAAAAATATTTATTTATTTATTTATTTGATTTGATTTGCCAATTGTTTACAAGATAATAAGTATAAGCGTATACATAGTTGTGAATACATGAAATGGGTACATATAAGAAAAATAAAAGAATAAGAGAAACAATAGGACAGGGACGGTAGGCACGTTGGTGCGCTTATGCACGCCCCCTACAGACCTCAGAAATAAGCTTGTTTCGCTTATAAATAATAATTATTTATTATTGTTAGGCTTTGAGCTCAGAAATAAGCTTGTTTCGTCAACTATTTCATCAACGGTTAATTTATATGCAAAAGAAATAATATAATAAGAATTAAGGTTCTGACTTAGTACACACAGCACTAACGCGTGCAATGTAAACTACAGCATGCAATAGAGACGAATCTTACGTTCAGCCAGCCTGCGCTGCGCTCCCCCTCCTTTCTAAGGCTTCCACGTCGTCACGTGGCCTTTCCCTCGCCGTTGCTAGGGTGAAGCTGTAAGCAATTAATGTGGCGCTCCCTGTCTGGTAAATCCAAACTCATAGGTCCCGTTTCGTCCAATGAGAGACAAAGTTTTAGGTCGCCTTCCTATAGCAAACCGAAAGGGGTGGGACCGAAGGTTGAGGCTTCGGCTGAAGTAGTTGAAGAACGAGATGGGCTCTCTAATGAAGTGCAGAGACGTGGGAAGTTTCTTGTAGCGGGGCTCGGATGGCTTTTGTCATATTACCACAGGTTTGATATTTGTTCCGTTGTGGACGGACCGCTGTTGCCTTGTAAGTTGCCTCAATTTTATGTTTTAGTTCTTTCTCTGGAATGGGTGTGTCCAAAGCAGAACTGCAGTGATCATTCTGAAGCGAGAAGGCCTCTCGTTACCAATCAGAGTCGGGCAAGCTATGTTGGGAGCCAGGAAACGCAATTTCGGAAGATATTGTAACATAAATGATGATTTAGGGAATTCTTCTCTACAGCTTATTAAACGGTCATTAGCATTCAGAAACTACCATAACGTGAAAGTCTGCTGAAAAAGTTAAAATCTCGCTTTGTGCTATCAATTGCTGTTAAGATGATTAATTCAAGGATTAACATTCTTGAAAATGTCGTTACTGCAGTTTAATATAATGCAATAGTTTTTTTTTCCTTTGAAGTCAAAGAGAAACGACTTGCATGTTATAAACAAACTCATGAGGGATTTCTCCCTCAGTCTTCTATGATGGGCTGGGGAAGATGATCTACCTAGAAGCATCCAAGTATCAAACCTTTATCTTAAAACAGTAATATAGCTTGTTTTGAACAGGAATAGCTGTATAACAGATTGGATAAGGCTGTTTCTCTTAACGGGATTTCTGTTTGCTACCTTTTAGCTACTAGTTACCAGGTGTGTACACAAGACACTCAACCCTATATTCAGGAACTTATTTATGCCAGCAGTTTCATAGACATGACACAGCTAAATGTTTCCTTATTCCACGCAAGTGAGATGTGCAGAAAATCAGCAGAACAGAGGAAATCAAGCCATTTGCCTCGCTCTGCTTCAGTACTCGGCATACTTGGATTCTGGGCCTTGTCCTCTCATTTTTTTTTCAAGTCAATAGACGTTTGTCCTTTTTCCCAGCCTTGAGAGTTGGAGACTAATGTCCTATGTTTATATAAGCATTCCCCCCCCTAGTTTGAATGCTGTTAGTTCCCACCTTAGCAAGTGCTGCTGGAATTTAGATTTACCAAATCCTAATTTTCTACCCAATGACCTTAATTATTCGTTTTAGGTAGACGATAAATGCTTTTTGGTAGTTGGAGTAAAATTTTGGTTCCCTACAAACTAATTTCTTTGAGGCAGAATAAAACTGCTACTAATACATTCTGCCACTCATCAGGTGGTAAAATTGAGTTTCTGCAAAAGTTCCACCTTTTACTATAGTTAGACATTCGAAGAGGATAAGCTGATAGAACCGAGAACTCCAGATCCAGAAAAATCAATAAGTAATATTCTAGTATATCAAGACATTTTCATTCTCTAAATATGATTAATCCCTAATAGTTTAAGGCAGTTAAGCATCTTATTTTACCCATAGTTTATATAAAGTAATATTTAAGTCTCCTAATTATAAATGTGTTCATTAACAACCCAAAATTTTACTTGGGAGCTATTTCCAAAGAAAACTTGAATGTTGGAAATAACTAATTTAGCATAAACCTAATTTAGGTAAACATACATAAGACTAATTTACATAACTGAGATTGAGATTCAGACTTAATGAAACTGTTCAAAAAATCTAAACTATCTTTGGTTAATTCAAGCTATACTAGTGCTATACTAGTATAATTAAAAAGTTATTGCTTTGGTGATGTGCCTTATCCTTAGAAATGACATGCAATGTCATCTAAAAAGTTTATATACTGTATAAGTTATACTGGCTCAGGACAAACTGGGTAATTTTTCTATCCTGGTTACCCCCAATTCACATATCTAAAATTTAATTGATAACACAAAAGAAAAATGTTGATACATAATCAGTTTCTAAATTCTCTGTTTTAGACGGCTTGTGGCAACAAAAAGTAACCTTACTTTAATTTAAAAGCAAAATCTTTACACTGAACTTCCGAGTTTTTTTTAAACTCAAAATTGTGAAAACTATCAGGATACTTCGT